ACTTCACCTGTCAGTTCCCTCAGCACCCGTGGATGCATCCCATCAGGTCCCATGGACTTGTGCACCTTCAGGTTCCTCAAATCGTCTCAAACCTGATCTTGTCTTATGGTGAGTTCTTCATTCTCCCAGTCCCTGCCTTGCCAGTGAGGCTGGAAGTCCCTGCCTTGGGCAGTGAGGCTGGAGCACTTGCTGGTGAAGACTGAGGCAAAAAAGTCATTGAGTCCCTCAGCCTTCTCCATATTCTGGGTAACCAGGTCTTCCATTTCCTTCCATAGAGGGCCCACATTTTCCCTAGTTTTCCTTTTATCACTGATGTAACTATAGAAGCTTTTCTTGTTGCCCTTGATGTCCCTGGCCAGATTTCATTCTATCAGGGCTTTCTTAACCTGATCCCTGGCTGCTCAGACAATTTCTCTGTATTACTCCCAGGTTACCTGTCCTTGCTTCCACCCTCTGTAGGCTTCCTTTCTGTGTTTGAGTTTGTCCAGGACCTCCTTGTTCATCCAAGCAGGCCTCCTGGTGGTCTTACTTGACTTCCCCTTTGTGGGGATGCATCATTTCTGAGCTTGAAGGAGGTGAATTTCGAATATTACCCAGCTTTTTTGGGCCTCTCTTGCCTCCAGTTCTTTATCCCATGGTACTCTACCAAGCAGATCCCTGAAGAGGCCAAAGTCTGCTCTCCTGAAGTCCAGGGTAGTGAGCTTGCTGTGCACCCTCCTCACGATCCTAAGGATCTTGGACTCCACCATTTCATGGTCACCGTAGCCAAAGCTGCTCTTGAGCTTCACACTCCACACCAGGCCCTCCTTGTTAGTGAGAACAAGGTCCAGCACAGCACATCTCGATGGATGACCTATCACTTGGAGAGGGAAGTTATCATCAGTGTATTCCAGAACCTCATAGATTGCTTGTGCCCTGCTGTGTTGTCCCTTCAGCAGATATTGGGGTAGTTGAAGTCACCCATAAGGACCAGTGCTTGTGAGTGTGAGGCTGCTTCTATCTGTCTATAGAGAGCCTCACCCACTTGGTCTTCCTGGTTGGTGGCCTGTAGCAGACCATCACTATAAGGTCATCTGTCCCTGCCCTCCCTTTAGTTCTGACCCTCATCCATCCCCAGGCAGAGCTCCATGCACTCCAGCTGGTCATTGACATAGAGGGCAACTCCCTCTCCTTGTCTCCCCTGCCTGTCCATCCTAAAGACCTTTATCCTTCCATTCCAACACTCCAGTCATAGGAGCCATCCCACCATGTGTCTGTGGTGCCAAGAAGATCACAGCCCTGCAAGCGTGCGCACATCCTCATGTGCACTCCTCTTGTATATTCCCCATGCTACGTGTGTTTGCATAGAGGACATTAAGTTGGGCCCCTAGTGTGAAGCTGACTTACTGGCTGAAGTGGCTGGAATTCCTTTGTGCTGTTGACCTGTGATCCCTCTCCAGGCTCTGGGCATCTGTTGCTGGAACTGCCATCAAACTGGTAGGACTGGGATGGATTGAGGTTCCCCTCCCCCTCTTCACCAGCTTGGGAAGCCTATGACAAATCATGTTTTAAAGTCAGTGACAGAAAATGACCATAATTCTGAACAAATCCATTTTATTCAGCCATGCTACTGAAGAGTTTCTGAACTGTTGCCACCTTTTATTTTGCCTTTATGGTCATACTATCACAGAGATTTAATACAAAACTATCCTGTGGCTAATTGAGTGCTTTATAAACCCATAAAAAAAAGGCTGTATGAGGTATAAATAAAAAAAGATGATGGTTCTCTATAGGACTGATGATACTTTTAATAAAGATTTTTAGTTCTGCCTTTCTTTGATTTCCAGTCAGGAGGCAAGAGCAATTTTTAACCACTTACCACATCTTTGGCATTCAAACTTTCTGCTGAAGATATGTAGGCGAATTCTGTTCTCAGCCATGTTTGTGTAAATCTGTTACTCATCTGATTTCACTACAGACATTTTGATTTATGCTGGTCTTACCAAGAGCCAACATTGACTTTGCCTCCCTGTCTAGGAGCATTTCTAGCAAGTGACCAGTTACCAACTCCCTTTCAGGTTTTCAGGGAGGGTATAATTTCCTTGATTCCACTCCATAAGGAACATCTGCTGCCATTACCTGTGCACAAGGTTTCAGAAAGTTCAAACCACAGCTCCAGTGACTGTACCCAGGGATTTTAGAGGAAATGCCTGTCCACAAGTCCTTCCACCCCAACATATTTTGCCTGAGCTGTCCTGTTACAATTCCAAGAATGGACAACAAAAGCTTATCCTTTGAAAAACAAACTGAAAAAAGAAGTATTTAAGGGAACTCACACATATTTTTTTTCAAATAACTACATGACAAATATTTTGTGAATTGAAATATATCTCTGCAATATTTCATTGCCAATGTATTATCAACACGTAACACCTTCAACTGGTTAAAAAAAGCTTCTTATTTCATGAAGAGAAACTGCATTATTGCTGTTCTACATTCAGTGATTGCGATCTCTTTCATAGATACAGGTATAAGTTAATAAATGAACAGACTAATAATTGTGGCAATTTTGATGGATTTTGTGCTGCTCAATGGCAAGCCAGATCTGCTCACAAGTTCTTATGCTAACTTTTTTTATGTAGGTCACATGCATAAAATGCAAACTCACAGCTCATTTAAACTCAGAAATGTTAAATTCTTATAGTATGTCCAAAATTATATGTTGTATCACTGTGGGACTATATGACAAAGCAGTAAATTACATGATAAAATAGCAGCCTGTTATGGCATTATGGTATAATTTAAAAAATAAAATACAAATATATAAAAAAATTGTATAGAATAAATAACACCTAACATTTTGGTTTGATTTTGTTTTTGGTTTTTTTTTTTTTAAAGAACCACTGTTTTAGGAAAAAAAAATTTTTTTAAGGGAACTTTATTTTAAACTGATACTCTCCTGTGCAGGAACCTTATGATGAACAGTGTTTGACCAACATTTTTCCAACTAATTCTGTGGATATTTATCATCTGGCAGAGTATCTCACTTTGTTGAATAGAAGCCTATGTTTTTAGAGAAGCAGATACTTACCACAGCCAATACTGAAGTCACAAGGATGTTGTTGCTGTTAGAGTATTTTACCTGATTTTACCTGATTACACTGATTTTACCCCAGAAGATGTACATATGTATGAATATAATGGGCATATAAGTTTTATCACATTTTTGTTTTGTTTTACTTCGGGAGTAATTGACAAAGCATTATTGTCTCTGTTTTATAAATGAAAAAATGGAATAATGATTCTTTATTCCTTAGATCAAAGATGAGTAACCCACCTCCAGGGGAGGCATCCTCAGTTTTGATCCCTGCTCAAAGGAGGGTTAATCAGGAGAGACAAGTCATGCTCCTTCTTGTGCCTTCCTGCCAAAGGATCTCTGTGCCTCTGCAGCAGGCAAGGCCCTTTAAGATGAGGATATAAGGAATCCTATATGTACCATGTTCACAATCAGATAGAGAAAGATTAAAGAAAACCAGCATTCAATAGCCTTATCGTGGGAGCCCCAAACTGAGACTAAACAGCGAACTCTTGAATATTGCAATGAAAGCTGCTGCTGAGCTCATGACATATGTATGCTGCAATACTTACAAATATGCAAGATAGACCATTGGGTGACATGTCACATTTGGACCTAGAATGCTTGGACTGTGTTCTGGTTCTGCTACTATTTTATTGTGCTAGTTCTAGAAAGTCATGTCATCTGCTTCAAATTCTTCATCTTGTTTCATAAAACTATGGACTCTTTGGGACAGGTTTTGTCCCACACTTTGTTGCTGTGTGAGCCACAAAGACAAGGCAAAAAGGAAGCCTGATCTCAACTGTGGCCTCCAGCTAGCCAGGGCTAACTGCTGCACCACACATCCAATCACTGATGAATTCATTAGTTTGGCACAAATACATTGCAAATTAAGTATTAAACAGAATTAGCAATCATTTAGGGTTCTTCAGTTATGAGTGTATAATGCAACCCCTGCAGCACTAGCAAGGGAAGGTTTGATACCATGCAGTAATCAACACTGATCACTAGTTTGATACAATAATTTAATAAATTGCTTATGTGATTTTTTACAACCTAAACAACAATGCAAGGTTGGTTTTTTTTTTTTCTTTGTTATTAGTAGTGGTGATGCTCATTATGTGAAGATGGGGAAAAAGAGGTGTGTCTGCCATACATGATAACTCCAAAACATCTTTGGCAAGTTCAGGTAGGTAAGTTCAGTTTGCTGTCAGCAGAGGGCAACATAGGCCTCATTAGTGAATAAAAGCAAAACTAATTCTTAAAAGATCATATTGACTTCTCAGACACTGAAACCAAACCTCACCGTACACCTGTACATTTGCTGTAGAACCAAAGTTCTAGAACTATTAATCTTTTACAAATTCATTTGGAATGCCTGCGTAAAACATATGAAATAGAAAAGCACTCCAATAAAGGTAATGACAAATACCTTTTCTTTGACTAAAATATATCAACTTTTAGGTGTTTATACTCCTTAATCTGATCTTCATTATATCCAAAAGCTGTTACCCTGTTAAGTTTTACATTTTCTTTAACCCTGTGTATACTAATAGCTCCATTTGTTATCCAGAAGACTAGTGGGTTACACCAGAAATAATGCAGTACCATGTTGAAAATCAGAAGTTTTACAATTTGTTGTTGTTGATGATGTTCTCCATTAGCCTTGACACTCTTTTATCCCATTTGGTGTGTCTCACAGCCTCTCCCTAGCTGTGTTTGCTCGAGAAGAGCCGTAACCGAGGCTGCAGTTTAAATTCACGTGAGTAGAATCTACTTTTTCATCAGTCCCACGGCTGAGCAGAGCCAAAGATCTTTTCCAGCTTTCCCAAGCAGAGCACTCCCAAAGCCCGGCTCCCAAGGCCTGTGTCCAGCTCCCGCTCCAGCAGCGCGGCGGACGCAGGCGGGCACCAGGGAAAGGCCGTGCCCGGCACAGGGGTCCCAGGGCTGTATCCCGGTGCATTTTTTCATCCCCTGGCCCTGTGTACCAGAACACAGCAACGCCCAAAACGTGCCGGCAGCCTCAGCAGCACCTCTGCCTTCACACTGAGGCTGCTCGGGAAAGCAACTGTTTCCCCGGCTGTCGGGTGCTTTCAGCCCTGCAGTGGGCCCGGGGGACAACACAGCACCTCACACTGAAAATGCCGCCCCCACGGCCGCCTGACAACGGGACGTGGCTTCTCTGCCCAGGGGCAGCTCCCGCCCCGGGCCCCCGACAGCAACGAGCGGGGCTGCCCACGAGTGTCCGCAGCGGGCCGCTCCGCCGGGGCTCACCAGGAGCCGCGGGCCAGA